CCCCCCCCCCCCCCCCCCCCATCTCTCTGATCTGCTACAGCTGTATGTCCCACCACGTTCCCTGAGGTCAGCGGACCAGTTGCTCCTCACAGTTCCAGGAACTCATCTTAAGCGCAGAGGTGACAGGGCCTTCTCTGTAGCAGGCCCAAGACTTTGGAACGAGTTGCCTCTGCTTGTCAGACAGGCCCCCTCCCTCTCGGTTTTCAAATCCCTTTAAAAAACCCACTACTATTCAGTAGCGTTCAACACCAGATGATCTGTGTTTTGAACCTGTATGCTCCACACTGGTTAGTCGTCATATTTATTATCTGCATCGTTTTTGTCTATATTCTGATTTACCTCATTTTGTATATTGCGTTGTGTGTTGCCTGTTTTTCTGTCTGTACAGCACTTTGGTTGGCCTTGTCGCTATTTTAAGCGTTCTATAAATAAAATGTTATGGTATGGTATATACAAGAACCAGTAACAGTGCAACAGGAATAGTAAACATGTAACTATACAGTAACTCCTCAAGGATCATTACAATACATACTTGGCCGACATAAGGTCCTTCGGCACAAACACCTTTGGAAGGCAGTGATGTGCTGTCAATGGGGCCACATATCTATTTTCTCCTGTTAGGACCACCCTGCTTCCTTTGGGAGCAACTGAACTCGCCGGACCTGGAAGAAACTCCTCTGGTACCCTTAAAGGCTAGCCAAGGCCCAATTCAGCTGAATAAAACCGCAGGTCCTCTTTAGGAGCTGAACGCAGGCCCAACAAAACCCAAGGCAGGTGATCCGTCCAACCATTATCCACCATTGAGGCCCACATTGCAGCCTTAATTGAGCAGTGGAACCTCTCACAAAGACCATTAGCCTGCGGGTGGTAGGCAGTAGTACGGTGGAGTTTAACCCCAAGGCTCTCTTCCACTGCAGGCCACAACTCTGAGGTGAACTGGGGACCCCTGTTAAAAGTTAAATCCAATGGCACACCAAATCGGGACACCCAGGAAGAGATAAATGCCCGAGCCACATCAATCGAAGTGGTTGATGACAGCGGAACTGCCTCTGGCCACCGAGTGGTTCTGTCCACCATAATTAAGAGATAGCTAAAACCTCTGGAAGGTGGAAGTGGGCCCACTAAATCCACATGCACATTCTCAAACTTCCCTTGGGGAATAGGAAACAGTTCCAGTGGAGCCTTAGTGTGCTGTTGCAGCTTGGCACACTGGCAAACTAAACAGGAAGCTGCCCATGTACGTACATCTCTACGGAGCCCTGGCCACACAAACTTTACCCCTATTAGTTTAATGGATGCTTTCACCCCCAAGTGTGAAAAGGAATGAACTGCATCAAAAACCCACAAACGCCAGCCACTAGGAACCAGAGGTCGAGGCTTGCTTGTCGAGACATCACAAAGAAGGGTTGCACCACACTCATGAAATGAAACTTCCTCCAAATGCAAACTGGATTTGGCTGCCTTAAAGGCCAGAATACATGGGTCTGTCAGTTGGTCTGCGGCCATGGTGAGGTAATCAACTCCTAAATGCCCAGAAGCAACCCTTG